AAGGACTGCCTCGTTGGCCGAGTGGTCGCAAGTGCGACTGCCGGGCAAGAGGCCTCGGGTTCGATTCCCGGGTCGAGCAAAGTATTACTGGGGTTTTTAAAAAAAAATTCCCAGTAATAGCATGGAGTCTGGAATTGTGCCCGGTATATGGCAATAGGCTCACCCCCTATTACATGGGACTCATAACTTAAATAGTGAAACGTGGGTGTAACATTGTACAGTGTCATAATGTTCACCTCTGCCTACCCCTTCGGGGATAAAAGGCGTGATGTTATGTATGTTAATAACAAAGTTCTTAATACAACTGTTGCATTATGTAAAAACGAATATGCATAAACAAAAATAACATCAAAATACTATCAACAAAGAACTTATAACATCATTTACAACATCCTAGTAAAAATTATAGCATCCAACATCCAAGAAATTTTCTATGTAAATTCGCCAAAAAACATACAAATAATATTAGGACCTCCTTAGAGGTTTACCGCATGTAGTTTTGCCGATAAGTCCCAAAAGGTAGAGGTCTAAAAACTCCACTAACTTAATGCTAAGTTTTTTCTGGGAACCGTATTAGGACCTATGTAGATGATAGGTCCCTGATGGATAAGGAACTTTTTGGCATCGTCAAAAATATTTAACTATAATACAGTTTTTTTCTCAAGGGAAATGTGGCTAAGATTATGTAGGTAGGTAGGTTGGTTTTCCGGGAATTTCTTCCTCTTTAGAAGGTAAAAAAAGGAAAAGTTTATATAGGTAATATTAGTGTAACCACAAAATTGTCACAGTGATAGTTTCGTTTTATTTTGTGTCCATTCATATACTGCATACAATGTTACAAAGGATAGCCATATAATATTTGAATAGCAAAATTACAAATAGAGATTTCGGATGTTGACAAACTTAATATGTTTTATGGGCTAAGCCGGTAAACGAGCAGACGGATCACCTTTAATTGCGCCTCCGGTAACCTCACTCACGAAACGCAACGCAAGCTTTGTTTCACGTCGGTCTTCTGTGAGGCCGTGGTATCACTCCGGTCGAGCCGGCTCATTCTTGCGGAAGCACGGCTCTTCCACACTTTGCTAGCACTAGCAGTATAATCCCTGAATACGTTTAAGAATGAGATAATAGACAGAATTTATTTCGTAGATTATAATCACCCTAAGGATTGAAAAATACTGCTAGTAAAAAGTCTTTGTACTGTAAGTAAGTTCATCACAGTCTGCCATTCAAGGAAGTAATTCCCAAGCCTTTAATTTAACACATTTTAAGGTTCAATTTCCTACATAATAAGCAGCCTACATGATACATTTAGACGATAATACCACGTCTTCTCTAATTAAATCAGATTTCCATGACAAAATTATGTTGACATTGGATTATTTCGTCCTCTGCTCCATTTTAAGGTCACATAAGGTTCAATGTAAGGATTGAACCTCTGCTTGTTTATTTACTTCGTGAATCCGGATTAAGATATATTGTTTGATCTTCATTAGATGGATTAAAAGGGGTTGATCATGATGTTTGATAATTTGAAACATTAAGAACGTTAAATAAAGTGATAAAAACTCCAGGGCTTTGCCTGGAGTTTTTATATTGCTTTGCATATTAAGCCCAATATTTTACCACGGATGGGGCCCAATAGGGCTGATGCTGAGCGGAGCCGCGAAGGACTTAACGGGTTACCGGGGCTCCGGCTCGACGTGCAGGAGTAGGAACAGGGTAGTTCTTAGTCAGCAAGAGTCTGACACTCCTTCCCGCCTCACTCAGGCGGGAGCAGTCATTTGATGATTTTCCTCCTTAAAATAAAAGCCCAATATTTTTCAGGTTGTTGACTTTCGTTATATATATGTTACTGTAAAAGCTCGAACTACGGTAAATCTTAAGATTTAAGTGTAAGTCTTAGGATTTACCGACATGAGTTGGTAAATGTAATTATTTCTGAAGATACGACGATTTTTTCGAGCTTTTACCATTCGAACTCAGTATATGCTAGGTTTTACCACTGTCAGCTGGTAGATGTTGGTTTTAGGAATAAAACAATGAGTAGTTCTTAATTATTTACTTTGAACTATTAGACAAAACAGGTACATAGTATTATAAAGATATAATAATGATAGTGACAAGTATCCTTGTTCTTCCACCGTGTCCAACAGCAAAATGCGTTTCTTCGAGAATGTTAAATAAATCGTCATAACAAACGTAATATTTGATTTCATCATTATCTTCCTTCATCGGGGCATTTAGCTTTTCTTCGCTGCCTATAGTCAAAATATCATAGCGTTTTATACGCCTGTAATGAACAGCTTCCTTCTTTTTAATGTTCTTTGCAGTTTTTACTTCCTCTAAACACTTAGCGTATTTGCCTTTATCAAGATAAAAGTTATTATCTTTCTTGTTTGCCACAAACTCGTCCATTATTTCATAAAATCTTTGCTTCATACTCATTCTGATTCACAAATAACTTTTAAACAACAAAAATATAATTAGAAATCAATTTATCGTGCGAGTTCAAACGTGTCAAATGGTGTCAAACGAGCGACTGAGGCGAGCGGAGCGGCGGAGACGGTGCGCGGGTAGCGGTAACGGCGAGCTACAAGTCAATGCGCTGAGTACGTTATGACATGTTTTGTTTTTCAACATTTACCATGCCAATAATGTAAATCCTAAGATTTACCAACGGAATGGTGGTAAAAGTTCGAATCGCAAATCTTTTTGGACATTTACCATTAAGAATTGGTAGATCTTAGGTTTTACTGGAATATCTTAGGATTTACTGCAGTTCGAGCTTTTACAGTAACATATACACTATATAAGATTTAATTTTCAAAATGAACTGGTTTTTCGTCAATGGAATCGGTAATAGACCATTTGTTTTACTATATGTTTACTTTGAAATCGAAAAACCCACAGATTCCTTCAACCTCATTCACCTTTAATTAAACAGTCAATCACGGACCCCTATAAGGGTCTTACAGACCCTGAATAGACGGTGTTTTCTTAAAATTAATGTACCATTATTAGACACGGGTTTCCGAGTGAGGTGGCTTTTATTGCAGGGTTAACAAATACCCCTAGCTGCCTTGTTTATTGAATGCAAAAGGTTGGATCGCTTGGTATTTATCTAGTTGAGAAAATGAGGAGATCACGCCTGTACTTGAAACTCTTGAGGGTTAATTAAAACGATTGCTGTTTTCTTATTCGAAAATTACCTTTAAGTGTGGGAGAGCCATGCTTCGGCACGAATGGGCCCTGCTCGACCGGAGTGATACCACGGCCTCACAGAAATCCAACGTGAAACAACGCTTGCGTTGTGTTTCGTCGTGTGAGTGAGGTTACCGGAGGCTCAATTGCGCCCCCCCCCCAATCCCTGAATCCCCAACAATCCTCAAATTCCTAATCCCCAAAAGGCCGGTAACGCACTTGCAATGCTTCTGGTGTTCCAGGTCTCCATTGGCGACGTATATTCTATAGAAAACTAAACAAATAAACTCTCTAAACAATTGAAAAGTTCATAATTTTACTGTGTGGAAGATTTTGTTTTATATATTAATGTTGAGATGAAAGTTAAAAATACAAGAAAAACAGATATGGACGCACACTAAGACAGTAAGGTTGTTATCTTGAAAATAGAATAGACAAATGTCTAGATATCTGCCTAGATCCCAAAGGTATTATAAATTATATTGTTCGTAAAACCTCAGTGGAATGCAAGTTTTAGAACTTCGAAAATCTTTAGTTTTTGAAAACTGTGAAGTATTCAAGTTGTTTGACGTGACATTGATTTAATTTCGTGTGGTTGCTTTTTCTCAGTATTCTGTGTAGATTTTTTTATACAATAAACCTCTGACTTGACTACAGCGATAAAGTTTTGTGGGACAAGGTTCCAAATATCCATCATGGATGTATGTCGTGAATGTGTAAGATTTTCTGAGAATATGGACGGCTGATGAATTAGTTTTAAGTAATTAATTATATTGTACTTTTTATATAAGATGCCTATTACGTAAGTAAGAGTGTAAAATAGTTAATAAGTAACATTTTTTATTGTTTAACTGTATAATGTTTTGGCTTGTGCTATAAAATCATATTTAGTTTTGGAATTACATGTTTTGAGAATCAAACCGCATGTCATTCTGCAGTACCTTTCGCCCAGTCGCTTCTTTAACGATGTAGCTTTTATACCTATGTCACATTGTCAAGGTACTGTAATACATGCTAATTTTAAGCACCAAAGTATGCTTCATTTGAGCACTTGTCACTTAGTGGCATGTGTGTCGGAATCTTGCTCAAAATAAGGTAGATGTCTAATTTTTATTTTAAACTGTCAAACACCGAGCGGGTCACCAATGACCGCAACCTATTGTTCTTTAAACGTGTCTATAATGACGGTACTCAAAGAGATTATTTTAAATCATTAGACACGTATTTTTTATTTTCTCACAGAAACGAATACTTTCGACGGTATATTGATTTGAAATGTCGCGTGACGTCACTTCTATGTACATTTTATACATAGAAATGACGTTTTACCGTCCCCACTTCTAAACTTTGATTCGTTTTATCTAAATATTGTTTTATTATACGACAAAATAAAAAAAATACGTCTAATATTTTTTCACTACCTAACTTACGGACTTATTGTATTTTTAATTTTCATACCCTGTCATCAACCCAATTAGGATACTCATTTCAGACGTGTTTACGAATCGACAGGCTTCAATTTTTGAAAATTTTTGAGCATGCCCAATACCTAGTACGCATTAGAATGCTATTTTAAAACTTTTTTAATATTTCTGTGTCTATAAATGTACCTATATTCTAGTACCAGTAACTAATAATATGCCGCTACGCCGTCTGTATTTTGAAGTCAATTAACTTGAAAATTAAATGAATTGGTTAAATTAAGATGAGTGTTAATTGCCGAAATATTTTTAATGTCCTACTACTCTACTCAAGTGTGTGTTTAAGTATTAACATTTTAATATTGTCAACAGACAAGCAAGTGGAATGGATGTTGTCAAGAGACATACAGCTGGCCTTCATGGAAGCTACGGAACACCTGGCTAAAGTCTGCGACCTGCCCCCAAGGATCATGTCCATACCAGTCACCGTAAGTAACTTAAACAATCTATAATATTGTTACTAAATAGTTTTATTCTTTGTAAGTTACATAATAGTTTGAGTCTACATAACATTGTTATGTGTCGTGGTGGCCCGGAGGTTTAAAACACCCGCTTCTCATGCATGAGGGTGCGGGTTCGATACCTACCAACGGCAAGTACCAATGTGACTTTTTCCGAGTTAACTTTATAAGATTATTGAAAACACCACTGACAAACGGTGAAGGAAAAAATGAAGAAAAGAAACCTGGGCTTATAATTTGTAATTATAAGTTTTAAATCACCAACCCGCATTGAGCAAGCGTGGTGATTAATGGTCAAAACTTCGCCGTGTGAGAAGAGACTTTGCTCAACAGTGGGCATTATGGGCTGTTAATGTGACATAACATTAATGTATCTATGTAGGTATTTTCAGATCTTGCTAGCGATGTATTGTTACTTAAAAAAAACGTGCCCCACACTAGTATTTTCTCCTGTGTCGTGTGTGCATTTATAAACGCACAAGCTCACACACACATGACACCCAGACCCGAAACAACAATTTGTGGATCACACAAAGAGTTACTCCGTGCGGGAATCGAACCCGTTACACCACGCCAACCGTGCAGTAAAAAATTTCGAGGGCACTATCCTTCTAAAAACTGAAATACACCGCCATATTGGTCCCGTATTACATTGGAACATGACGTATCTGAATTAATAAAAAAAAACGATTTATTCACGTAAATATAATAACCTTTTCCATTCGTTTTAGTTCATTTAGTATATTTACGAATGTTATTTTAAAAACATGACTTAAGTATCTGGCAAAATAGATAGTCTGACACTCCCTCTCGCCTCACCCGGGCGAGAGAAGCCATTGGATGAATTTTCCCCCTCAAAAAAAAGTTAATTTCTATCTAGTCCAGTTACTTCTTCAACGATTATAAGGCGTTATGCTTATTAAATTATTATTTAACAAGTCCACGAGCCCAGCGCGCCCTCCGCCGTGATTCAATATATTCAATATTTATTTTATAAATAATTAGTACATTTAGAAAATATTAAGTACTAGCTTCAGCCCGCGACTTCGTACGCGCAATCCCGTTCTTTCCCGTTCCCGTTCGTAATTTGCGGTGAAAAGTAAAAAAAAATCTATGAAAAAGTACCTATCCTATGTCTGTCTCCTGGTTCTAATCTACCTTCCCACCAATTGTCATCCAAATGGATCTAGCCGTTCTTGAGTTATAAGTAGTGTAACTAACACAACTTTCTTTTACATATATAGATATTTAAAATATAATGATTTATTTACTATGTCTCACGAACGTTATGCTTGTAATTATATTTCTAATCCTCAGCTTCTCTTTCATTATCAAAACCAAACCTATCTACCATACTAATTCCCCACAAAACACTATGAACCATAAAGCAATCTTCATTAGCATTAAGTTTATACAAACTGACGGACAAGTTATCCAGACATTAATCTAGCCAGATTTAGTTCTAGACCGAGCTACGGATGTCTAAACCGTCTAGTCTAGACAGATGTAGATTTAAATTTACGAGGCTAATCAGATTGGCCTGGTTGTGTAGTTTGTAACTAAGTATTGTATGGCTCACTATTTCTGTGAGTGAAATGTAGGTAACTATATGACAGTGTCTTTGTCGTTTGCTATGATGATGTGCTATTACTGCGAATTAGGAAAAATAAAAAGGTGATACGTTGCTTGACGTCGCGGAGAACCTAACGGGTTACCGGGGCTCCGGCTCGAAGCGCAGGAGAAGGAACGGGGTGGTTTTTAGTCAGCAAGAGTCTGACACTCCCTTACGCCTCACCCAGGCGGGAGGAGCAATTCGATGATTTTCCCCCTTAAAAAAAATACGTTGCTTGACACAAGAATCTCAATAGATACCTACTTTAACCATGTCGATGCATTACATTGATCGATAGCGAGTTGTTGAGTGCCGATGACAATCGAGACATCAATGAGACTTTTTTTTATTTGACAAAAACTTTGTCCCGCTCTAGGATTTTTCCTGTGTCGTGGATGCGTTTACAAAAACACATGACACCCAGACTCGGAAAAATAATCTGTGGATCACACTAAGATCTGTACCGTGCATGAATCGAACCCGCGACACGTTGCATGGCAGCCAGTTGCCCAGCCACCCTGCAATCGATTTTAGATATAAATAACAAATATTTAATTCTGTTTCAGTTCAACAAACCAATTTATGGTTTGGAGGTGCCCAACTTGACTGACTTCGCTGGACCTGGTGTTATTTTAACGTAAGTAGATTATCATAATGACAATGAAAGAGAGGTGACAAATGCGTTGATTCGACCAGTGTAATACGGCTTCATAGAAAACCGGCGTGAAACACTGCTTGCGTTGTTTGAGTGAGTAGTAAACGACTTTGAGTGGTAAAATATTATGTCTGTCTCTCTCGCTCTTAGGCTGGCTAACCATGCCCGAGTGGAAGGGACGCGTGCCTCTCACTCGCTCTCATTGTGAGCGCATAACGTGAGCGGAGCGTAACGCAGTTTCTTGAAGTGTCACCCGGCAAACCAATTTATAAGACGTTGTCACGTCAAAAATAATTGATAGGTATTAAGTATGATTTTTTTATACCACGACGCGTGGCAAAAAAGCAAACGGCCCACCTGATGGTAAACGGTTACCGTGGCCTATGTACGCCTGCAACACTTGGGGCATTACATGCGCCTTGCCGACCCTTGATGTGACAAGTGTAATCTTTTTATCAACAGGATCGTATTCTTCTTGGCTGTGGCTCTGACTTCTGGCTCCATGCTGGCTGAGAGGAATGAAGGTATCCTGGAGAGGTCACTGGTTTCTGGTATTACTGGTAAGTCTTCTAAAATGTTTTTCTAAGCTATTAGAACCTGGTGATGCAGTTAGATAACTAAACCTTTTAAGATGATTTGATTTGATTTGATTTGATAACAATAAATGAACCTTTTAAGTATTATAAAACGCCACCTACTACTAAAAAAAAAAATTGTATTATTAACTTTTCTGAATCGACTTCCAAACTATTGTGGAGTACTTATTTATTAAAATAATCAAACTTTTGAGCGAAGAGAATACGTCAAAAGGGATGATATACATAAATTGACAAATTAGGTAAAAACAAAAACGCGCCCGCTACGTGCGGATTCGAAACCTATCGACAACAAATAACAATGTGACATTTTACCGAGTTATATGTGCTTTCTATTATTTAGACACCACTGACAAACGGTGAAGGAAACATCGGGAGAAAACCTGGGCTTATAATTTCTAAATATACGTTTGAAATCGCCAACCCGCATTGAGCAAGCGCGGTGATTAATGCTCAAACCTTCTTCGTGTGAGAAAAGGCCTTTGGTCACTTATAGGCTACAAAAGTCTGAACAGTGAACTAACAAAAATAAGAAGTAATTAAACTACCTACCCTCGAAGTTGTAATCCATTTAAATTGTAGCGAAACTAGTTTAATAGTCTACAAGTTATTTTAGAAACCAGTTACGGAACCCGACCCTAATCAGGGTAAAGAACCAGATAAAGGTAGCATCGGAATGTTATCTGTGGAACCCTAATTTTATTATCACACCTTTTACAATAGCTTTTTTAATTAAACCATGCAAATGACATAACAGGGATAGATAGAGATATGGATACATTTAGGTAGCTATATAGGTAGGTAGGTCAATTTGTGTAATTTTTCTCATTAAAATACAACAACTTGATTAGTTACAAAGGAATTACGCTGAAATAGAAAGAAATAAAGAAAGAAAGGAAGAAAAGGAAGAAAGTAAAACAGTTTATTCCAATGGTAAAAATTTCAACAAGAAGAAGAAATACTCATACGCTACTCAATTTGAAGTCGCGCTTAAGTATAATTCTGTAACTATAAATTCTTTGTAAAATGACAGAGGTGCCACGATATTTGAGTACAACTTAAAATTGGGTAACCTTTCAGTATTCCGGCGGACCTGCGTTATTATTTCAAAACTAGCTGTGCCCGCGACTTCTTATGGAATAGGGATTTACTGCGCTTACCCCGTAGGTGATAACGTGATAATAATGTAGCCTATATGTTGACCCGACCTTTTATTAATAAGCATACAAAATTTAAAGTAAATCCATACAGTACTTTTTGAGATCATCCCAGACATACATACAGACAAACAGATAAACAAAAAAAAAACATATTTTGGCTTCAGTATCTATTGTAGATCATGACCTAAGTATTCTTTTATAAAAATATTCAATGTACAGTTTTGACTTTTCTACGATTTTATTATGTGTAAATTATACTATTATATAAAGCGGAAGAATTTGTTTTTTGTTTGTTTGTTTGAACGCGCTAATCTCCGTAACTACAAGTCTGATTTGAATATGTTGGATAACGCATTTATCGAGGATAGGCTATAGGCTATAAAACATCACTCTACGACCAATAGGAGCTGAGCAGAGCGTGTGAAACCGCGCGGAAGTAGCTAGTGTGTAAATAAATATAATATATAATATAGATAAGATAACAACAGACCTCTTTAGGGAATAAAAGACGGGATAATTATATTGTATCACGTTCATAAAAGTTAATTCTTAAAACTATGTTCTTAGTTTCTGATGCAGTTTTAGTTTAAATTAAGTAAGAACTTCGGAGCCTGGCTTTGAAAGACATGAGGTTTAAAACTTCTTGCAAAACTATGCTGCCTCACGAATGTTAAGCATTTAGACGGGTCTGTAGAATAGTATAAGGTATTTTATACCTTATAATCATCTGGTTTAAAAAGCTAGACAGAGATGTGAGAATGATGAACGAAAAATGTTTCTTTACAACGGAAGAAAAATCATTTATTTCACTCGCTTTCGTATGATACTTAGAAAACAATAGTACACAAATATAAGAAAACACTTTTGTCAAAGGTGACAGCTTGTTTTTTTTATATTTGATGTCGTAGTGGCCCGAAGGTTTAAGATGCTGACTTCTCATGCATGAGGGTGCGGGTTCGAAACCTACCAACAGCAAGTACCAATGTGACTTTTTCCGAGTTATATGTACTTTCTAAGATTATTCAGACACCACTGACAAACGGTGAAGGAAAACATCGTAAGGAAACCTAGGCTTATAATTTCTAATTATAAGTTTGAAATCACCAACCCGCGTTGGGCAAGCGTGGTGATTAATGCTCAAACCTTTTCCGGGTGAGAAGAGGCTTTGCTCAGTAGTGAGGCTGTTGATGATGACAGCTTGTTTTTTATAATTATAGAATAGTTGAACAATAGCTTTTCCATTACCTCTGTGATGATTTGCTTTTCCTAAAATACTATGGAACACAATCTTGATCTCTGCAATAACGCTATAGCTTTTGTATTTTCACGATTCGCCCTGCAGCTTAGACTTAAATTTTTTGATTGATTTAATTAGCAATGTTAGTTAGATCCGTTTTACATTGCTGTATTGTATTGTCTGTATTGTGTTTCCACAGTCTGTCATTCCCACATTTTCTTCACATGTCCCCAGTTTATATCATGTGTTGGATGTCACTTTTCGTTTACTGACTTGGTCTTGTGTTTAGTACCTTGACATGCTGTAACACTGAACAGAATCCATATCTTGCTTCAATATTCTGGCATCGATCTTAGTTGTTCGTATAGTCCTGTGTTGACATGCTATGTGTTCCACACATATTGTGCGCTTTTTAGCATCCTTGGTTATAGGTGAATACGTGGTGGAATACTAGAGAAAGTTGAGCAACTCTATAGACTGTATAAAAACCACATCGTTTTACAAGTGGAATGTCGACGTCAGCTGTTCCGTCAAGATGAGGGAACAGCTGACGTCGGCTGGCAGTGTCTTTTTAAAAAAAAAAAAAAAAAAAAAAAAAATAGATATTTAAGCAATGGACCTGATTAAGAAACCTGATGTAGTGTTTTTTCATATTCTCGTAATTAATTGAACTGATATTGAACAATCTCATGTCATTTTAAAACACAAAACAAATGTTAAATATTTCCCGAACAATCCTTCTAAATACCTCCCCGGATCCATTACCCGAGAACAATCCATTTGTTTCCAACACACGGTGTTAACGATAACATGATAATATAATTTTATTCGACCAAACTGTTACACGAAGAGAATGTTCCTTTGACGAAACTGGAGGCCTAATACAATGTTCCGAAACGAAATTCCTTATATTGCGTCAAATAGCATATTATTATTCATTTAATAGATATTTTTCATTGAATCAATCACAAAAAAATTTGTAATATTCGAATTCTTCATGTTATTATGCGTTTGAAAGTCTTATGTTTAATCTTGTAATATTTGCAGTTAATCTAAGACGGATAATTTAATTCCATCATACGTTAAATATTATCGCAAGAAATTTGAATATCAATATTATCGCATATTTGCATAATGCTAAAAAGTGTTGCATAAATTTCAATACCTTTTACTTACCTATGATAGATATTGTTTGCCTGGGTTTTATATTATGGCTTATCTATTTTTACCTACTAATAAAATATATACCAATAAAAGAAAGAAGAATTTCTTCGGAAGTCTTGGTGCGATTTGAATAATTCTTTTTGTGTAGAATAGTGCATTTATCAATCTATAAGCTATAAAATATCACGCTATGGTCAATAGAACCCGAGCAACGAGTAAAACTGCGTAAGACTAGCTGGTTTTTTTATAACGAAATTTCGTTTGGGATTATTGTAGTAGGCCTCCAGCCCATTAAGTCCTGCTGATACCTCAATTAGTTTTGATAATGGAAGGTACGATGCTAACGGGTTGTAGGACCCTTTGGATTCCATGTTATCTTGCTCTTTGGTTTTTCCTTTATTGTGTGAAAATTTTAACTTTTATTTTCGTTCACGACAGAAAATTGATACTTTGTACTTGGTTTTAAATAGGTATGGGCTGTAATTATGAAAACTTCTGGAATTAAAGTAATATAATAAAAAACTAGCGGACCCAACAGACGTTGTCCTGCATATCCACTTGAATGTATAAACAAAAAATTCAAATTAGTTCAGCCGGTTAGGATAACTAACCTAGACACCGACTGCAGCGCCATCTGCCAGGCTGAGTTGTGAATCTAAACCATTCCCAGATCCCCTTGAAAACACACAAAAAATTTCATCAAAATCGGTCGTTTGAGAGAAGTTCAGTGACATACATACTCACAGAAGAATTATATAGATAGTCTATAAGTATTGACGTGTCTAAGTAGCTCT